CTCTAAACTCAGTAACCCATGTCTTATTTCCTACAGTCTCACTAGCTACATATACTTAGGGTGATCAAAAGCAAAGATTTTGGTCTTACATGCAGCTTACATAAATTCATTTATTGCAGAGCTTTAGAGCTGGTAGAAATCTTAGTGTTTACCTAACTCACTCATTCTACAGATGAAGAAATTATAGCTCGAAAACATAGTGACTTATACTAACAATACCTAGATGGTTTATTGATACAAATTGAAAACCAGGTCTCCTTACTACCAATCTACATATGCCATAAACATATCTACTTTTTCAAGAAGCAAATGCACTGTTTGTTTCTTTGCTTCTACATTATTATTTCTATATACCTTCCTGGCTATTTACATAGTCCAACTCTATTTGGACTCCAAGGAGATCAAATCAGTCAATCTTTAAGTAAATCAATCCTTAATATTCATTGGAAGGACTGATGTTGAAGCTGAAGCTCCTATACTTTAGCCACCTGATTTGAAGAACTGACTCACTGGAAAAGACCCTGATGCTGGGAAAGATTGAAGGAAGGAGGAGAAGGGGACAACAGAAGATGAGATGGTTGGATGGCATCACGACTCAATGGACTTGAGTGTGAGTAAACTCCAGGAGTTGGTAATGGATAGGGAGGCCTGGCGTGCTGCAGTCCATCCATGATGTCACAAAGAGTCGGACACGACTGAGCGACTGAGCTGAACTGAGCTGATGTCTCCAATTACCAGACTTGATACTCAAATGTTCTCTGATAAGATCATGGTGACTTATCCTCTCTATCCACCTGCCAGGCTGAGCTCCTGGAGATGGAGACCAGGCTATGCTGATACTTCTCACCCCAGCACCTGCCACTGGTCCAAGCTCCACTCAGTGCTCAATCAACGTTTACCAAGTCAAGCAAAGTGGAAAGAAATTCTCTAATTATCCTCAAACGCTGAGGATAAAGCCATCTATTAATAAAATCAATGTTTTATCATCATCCAAAAACATCAAATTTTTGTTAGGAAAAAAAAGATATTGAGCTTATACCGTATGTGGAGCATGGTATATGCACTGGGTATAGGCAGACTCTACCTTAATTCTTCATTTTATTTAAATAGGATCTTTTTAATTAGGTGACTTAGGTAAGAAGATTTATTGCAAAGGGGCTTCATGGCCCACATTCTGTTAACTCTCTGGCCATTATAGCACAAATTCATATTGTTTCTTGTCCCCTTATCATCAGGCAAATTGATCTCACCTGTTCAGTATAATAAAATAGCCATTTGTGTTTACTTAGTACTTTACAAAGCACATTCATATTCATGTCTTTACCTGTTCTTACTCAAAATACAGTGAGACAGGTGTTGTTATTATTACCACATTTAAAATGTAGAAACTGAGGTTCAGAGAGGTCAACTAACTTGCTCAGGGCACACAGCAGGCTAACTAGAACTTGGGTCCCTTGATATCTCATTCAAAGGTTTTCCCACTCATCACAGAGCATTTCTCTGCACAGCAAGATAGCTGTCCTAGGTTTCCACTGTAAGATTCCTCAAGTGCCTCCCTTCCTAGACCACATCCTTCTAGAAGCCCTTCCCAGCCCTCGCTGACAGGCTCAGTGAGAACTAAGTGCAGCACAGCATTAAGTCTGGTTCCAGGTTTGTTCCCAGGTATCTGATACCAGGGTCAATCACCTTACCCCTGTTCCTTGGTTTCCTCATCTGTAGAAAGAAACGGATGCAATACCTGATCTCTGTGGTTTCTTTCCTTTCTGATATTTTTAACTTTCTCATACAGTAACAGGGATCTTCTGGAGGAATGTGAATCCATGACAGCAACTCTGAAAGTAAGGATTCTGGATGGTGCAGCAGCCTCCAGAGTGTAGGAGATCAGAGCTGAATTGCTTTTTCTACGGACCCAAGACCTAGGCTCTGCGGAAAGCCATAAAACATAGTGACTTATACTAACAATACCTAGATGGTTTATTGATACAAATTGAAAACCAGGTCTCCTTACTACCAATCTACATATGCCATAAACATATCTACTTTTTCAAGAAGCAAATGCACTGTTTGTTTCTTTGCTTCTACATTATTATTTCTATATACCTTCCTGGCTATTTACATAGTCCAACTCTATTTGGACTCCAAGGAGATCAAATCAGTCAATCTTTAAGTAAATCAATCCTTAATATTCATTGGAAGGACTGATGTTGAAGCTGAAGCTCCTATACTTTAGCCACCTGATTTGAAGAACTGACTCACTGGAAAAGACCCTGATGCTGGGAAAGATTGAAGGAAGGAGGAGAAGGGGACAACAGAAGATGAGATGGTTGGATGGCATCACGACTCAATGGACTTGAGTGTGAGTAAACTCCAGGAGTTGGTAATGGATAGGGAGGCCTGGCGTGCTGCAGTCCATCCATGATGTCACAAAGAGTCGGACACGACTGAGCGACTGAGCTGAACTGAGCTGATGTCTCCAATTACCAGACTTGATACTCAAATGTTCTCTGATAAGATCATGGTGACTTATCCTCTCTATCCATCTGCCAGGCTGAGCTCCTGGAGATGGAGACCAGGCTATGCTGATACTTCTCACCCCAGCACCTGCCACTGGTCCAAGCTCCACTCAGTGCTCAATCAACGTTTACCAAGTCAAGCAAAGTGGAAAGAAATTCTCTAATTATCCTCAAACGCTGAGGATAAAGCCATCTATTAATAAAATCAATGTTTTATCATCATCCAAAAACATCAAATTTTTGTTAGGAAAAAAAAGATATTGAGCTTATACCGTATGTGGAGCATGGTATATGCACTGGGTATAGGCAGACTCTACCTTAATTCTTCATGTTATTTAAATAGGATCTTTTTAATTAGGTGACTTAGGTAAGAAGATTTATTGCAAAGGGGCTTCATGGCCCACATTCTGTTAACTCTCTGGCCATTATAGCACAAATTCATATTGTTTCTTGTCCCCTTATCATCAGGCAAATTGATCTCACCTGTTCAGTATAATAAAATAGCCATTTGTGTTTACTTAGTACTTTACAAAGCACATTCATATTCATGTCTTTACCTGTTCTACTCAAAATACAGTGAGACAGGTGTTGTTATTATTACCACATTTAAAATGTAGAAACTGAGGTTCAGAGAGGTCAACTAACTTGCTCAGGGCACACAGCAGGCTAACTAGAACTTGGGTCCCTTGATATCTCATTCAAAGGTTTTCCCACTCATCACAGAGCATTTCTCTGCACAGCAAGATAGCTGTCCTAGGTTTCCACTGTAAGATTCCTCAAGTGCCTCCCTTCCTAGACCACATCCTTCTAGAAGCCCTTCCCAGCCCTCGCTGACAGGCTCAGTGAGAACTAAGTGCAGCACAGCATTAAGTCTGGTTCCAGGTTTGTTCCCAGGTATCTGATACCAGGGTCAATCACCTTACCCCTGTTCCTTGGTTTCCTCATCTGTAGAAAGAAACGGATGCAATACCTGATCTCTGTGGTTTCTTTCCTTTCTGATATTTTTAACTTTCTCATACAGTAACAGGGATCTTCTGGAGGAATGTGAATCCATGACAGCAACTCTGAAAGTAAGGATTCTGGATGGTGCAGCAGCCTCCAGAGTGTAGGAGATCAGAGCTGAATTGCTTTCTCTACGGACCCAAGACCTAGGCTCTGCGGAAAGCCACGGACTCCTTGGGGCAGTGCTCAGAATCCCAGCTGCCAACTACTGCACTCCGGACGCAGAACGGGGTTCCAATCCTAAGACCCTAAAGCCAGTTTCTACAGTGACACCTGCTGGCCGGGCAGGCCTAGGGCTGAACAGAAGGCAAGAGATGCCTGCTTCATCCAGGCTATTGGCTCTTGGCTCTCTCCTCCACCAGAGTCCAGGCCCTCTTCCCAGCCAGAAAGACTCTGAATTAGATTACTCTTCTCAGTTCTGTTATATTTGATTATGTGGCTCCACTCTGGTTTTCTTAACACTGATATATTGCCTTTGTCCTTTGTTACACTGTCTCATTTGATTCTTATAGACTTTACCAAGATCCAATGTTTAAGATTTCTTATTCGATTCTGTAGCACTGCTGATTTTCTAAAACAAACTCCTAACATAGAAAGGCAGTATTTCCCAGAGGTTTGTTGGCTGGTTGAAAGCATAGTGCCTCATATACTCAATAAATATTTTGAATTGAATTAATTAATTTACTAATTATTTTAAGAGCAAGAAATACACCTTATTGTTTCTATTAAGAAAAAACTGATGACATTTATTTATGTTTATAGAAGACTGGTCAATGTGCTGGAAGGAAAATAACCCAGTGCAATCTTGGCTGAGAAAGAATTCACTCACCCTAAAAAAATCAGTGGATGTCAGTCACTTCATACTCAGTACAAACATGTAAGTATCAATGGTTTATGAATGCTCTCATTACATTGTTTACCATTTATTTAGACACCTAAATAATGCCCACAACTTACTATATAAATTGCATATTATTGAGAAATAAGGCACAATTGCAGTCATAATTTAATTACAGCTGCAAATTTAATTAACTAGCTAGTAACCTTGTTCTTCTCCTTCCTGGCACTTAGCACAATTATACTTAATTAATTTTTGTAATTATTAATTTAGTCTGTGTCCATGATTAAATTATAAAAACCGAAGGAACAGAACTTGTGCTTTTGTATTTCTGTTTCAGACAGGTGTCTGATGTCTCGCACAGACCGTGGCACACAGCAGGGGCTTAGAGATACTGATTTAAACTTGACCCAGACTGTTGGGCACAAGAGCTACGTGAGAGGACTAGGCAGAGACCCAGACCTGAACCCCAGAGAAGACACAAGGAGCAAATGAGTTCAGACTTTTAGGCATCGACCCCTAGGCACTCCTCTTGGTCTCAAGTGTCTTCTTTGGCCACCCCACACTGGACACTTTCCTTTCTTCCTTGCTTTCCACTTTCCTTCCCTCCTTTTTTGCTTTCCTACCTCCCTTACCTAGTTTTCCTTTCTCTTTTACTTCCTTTTTTCTTTCCTATCATCCTTCCTCCCTTCTCTCCACCACCTTTTCCTCTATCTTTCCTTTTACACTGATGGCTTACATCCTATGTAATTGTAACTGTGTTGGATCCTAGTAAAAGGACGACCAGCAGGGGACTTCATCCTTGAGTCCACCGTGAGAACTCAAATCTCCTTTTCCCTCTGGCCTCATGGCACTGTCCCCTCAGCACCTAGGTTAGGAACCTGAGGGGAGGTGCCCCACTCCCAGGTCCAGTCCTGGCCCATGGCTTAATCCCAGACTCCTAGAGAGACCTTTACGTGCCCTTCCCTGCCTCTGCTCCTGCCTTGGCAGCCTGACCCGCCTGCTCCATGGGGAGGGAAAACCTCACCTGGGTCAGTGAGTTTGTCCTACTGGGCCTCTCCGGGGACAGGCAGACCCAGGCTGGCCTGTTTGTCCTGTTTGGGGCCGCCTATCTGCTGACCTTGCTGGGCAACGGGCTCATCCTCGTCCTGATCCGGCTGGATCCCCGCCTCCAGCTGCCCATGTACTTCTTCCTCGGCAACCTCTCTGTAGTGGACATCTGCTACACCTCCAGCGGGGTTCCCCAGATGCTGGCGCACTTCCTCCTGGAGAAGAAGACCATCTCCTCCGCCCGATGTGGTACCCAGCACTTCTTCTCACTGGCCCTGGGGGGCACCGAGTTCTTGCTGCTGGCCGCCATGGCCTATGATCGCTATGTGGCCGTCTGCGATCCCCTGCGCTACGCGGCCGTCATGGGGCTGCAGCTCTGCGCAGGGCTGGCCGCCGTCTCCTGGCTCGTGGGCCTGGCGAATGCGGCGGTGGAGACCGCGGTCACCGTGCGTCTGCCCACCTGTGGGCGCCACGTGCTGAACCACGTGGCCTGTGAGACGCTGGCGCTCGTCAGGTTGGCCTGTGTGGACGTCACTCTCAACCAGGCGGTCATAGTGGCGTCCAGCGTGGTGGTGCTTTTGGCGCCCTGCTGCCTGGTTGCTCTGTCCTACGCCCGCATCGTGGCCGCCGTCCTGCGGATCCGCTCCAGCGGGGGGCGCCGCAAAGCCTTCGGGACCTGCGCCTCGCACCTCACCGTGGTCTCCATGTCTTACGGCATGGCCCTGGTTACCTACATGCAGCCCCGCTCCACCGCCTCCGCCGAGCAGGACAAGGTGGTGGTGCTCTTCTATGCGGTGGTGACCCCTATGTTGAATCCTCTCATCTACAGTCTGAGGAACAAGGAGATAAAGGCCGCTCTCACTCGGGTTCTGACGAGGAGCTCTCAATCAAAACGGTAGCCTGGGACCTTGTCATTCAAGGGCCTCGCTCTGAGTACGGTGGGCAGGGCAGCGTGCCCACCACCTACTGTGTGCGCATGTACGTGTGTGGGCACGTGAGTGCATGTGTGTGTGTGTGCGGGAGCCGATGGGAGGGGCCACAATCCCGTACCATTGTTTGAAGTCACAGAGAAATGGAATTTTATCTCTGGGCTCTGTTTTTGGTCCCTGACTTAGTCTTTTTAAAAATGTGAATTACAACCACTTACCTAAAGGAGATCAGTCCTGGGTTTTCACTGGAAGGACTGATGCTGAAGCTGAAACTCCAATACTTTGGCCACCTCATGCGAAGAGTTGACTCATTGGAAAAGATCCTGATGCTGGGAGGGATTGGGGACAGGAGGAGAAGGGGACACCAGAGGATGAGATGGCTGAATGGCATCACAACTCAATGGACATGAGTTTGAGTAGACTCCGGGAGTTGGTGATGGACACTGGTGCTGCGATTTCATGGGGTCACAAAGAGTCGGACACAACTGAGCGACTGAACTGAACTCAGAAATGCATACAGTTCACAGAAAATCATATTGGAAAAAAAGATATACTGGCATATACGAATTAGAAAGGAAGACTAAATCGAAATCTCGGGCAGTGCACAGAACTTTTGCCAAGAAAGTCTGTTTCCTAAATTCTACAGCCACAACTCTAAGCCTTTCTGAAATCAGTGGGAAAAAAAGAGAGGAAAAGCTGTGACTTACAAGATTCACCATGCCCATGGAATCAAACAGGCCTTGGGCCAGAGGTGAAAGGGTCATCATGTGGTCACCAGTGGTCCCGCTCAGCTCCGTAGGGTGGGGAGTTCACAAGGGGACCTGAAGCCAAAGTCCCAGTAATAATCCACACATCCATGAGGAGCAGGACTGGCTCTACATGAGTCAGTGGATATCACGCTGCTCATTTTCCTTTCAAACTTGCCATGGTGGCAAATGTCTGGCCAAAAAGTGAAAAGTTCATAACTGCAAACATCTTTCTACATAATCAGGTCTAAGGATATGCTCTTATGAAAACTGAAGGATGTATTCAGAACTCATGCTTGACTAAGAATCATGCCACATACCATCAGAGGTAAATCAGGCTACTTAAATAAGAAGGGATCACAGCTCCCTGTTAGTGATCCTTTTACTCTACTGACACAAAAATTAATGAGTGAGCTCTAAACATCCTAGAATATAAAGTGAGACCATGATATTTTATGGAGAAAAATGTTTAAAACTACTTTAAAAAATCAGAATGAAGCATCTCTGACCTAAATATTACAGCTCTCTGGTTTATCTTACCCACAAACAAACAAAATATAAATTGAGAATAATTCAAACTTAGTCTGTTAAGAAAATATCAAAAGAATGAGAAGGAGGAAATGAAGCACCTTTGAAAGTTCCTAGTAAAACAATTTTTCAAAATTGAGGTAAAATTCACATCGCATACAATGCAAGATTTTGACCATTTAAAGTGTACAATTCAGTGGCATTTAGTATATTCACAATGTCATGGAACCTCATGCTTACACAGTTTCATAGCATCTTCATCACCCTCAAAAGACACCTCATACCCTTTAAGCAGGACATCATGGGAAATGCCGAACTGGATGAAGCACAAGCTGGAATCAGGGTTGCAGGGAGAAGTATCAATAACCTCAGATATGCAGATGACACCACCCTTATGGCAGAAAGTGAAGAAGAACTAAAGAGCCTTTTGATGAATATGAAAGAGGAGAGTGAAAAAGCTGGCTTAAAATTCAACATTCTAAAAACTAAGATTGTGGCATCTGGTCCCATCACTTCCTGGCAAATAGATGGGGAAATAATGGAAACAGTGACAGACTTTATTTTGGGGGGCTACAAAATCACTGCAGATGGTGACTGCAGCCATGAAATTAAAAGACACTTGCTCCTTGGAAGAAAAACTGTGACCAACCTAGACAGCATATTAAAAAGCAGAGACATTCCTTTGCCAACAAAGGTCTGTCTAGTCAAAGCTATGGTTTTTCCATTAGTCATGTATGGATGTGAGAGTTGGACCATAAAGAAGGCTGAGCGCCGAAGAATTGATGCTTTTGAACTGTGGTGTTGAAGACTCTTGAGAGTCCCCTGGACCGCAAGGAGATCAAACCAGTCAATCCTAACAGAAATCAGTCCTGAATATTCTTTGGAAGGACTGATGCTGAAGCTGAAGCTCCAACACTTTGGCCCCCTGATGAAGAACTGACTCACTGGAAAAGACCTTGATGCTGGGAAAGACTGAAGGCAAGAGGAGAAGGGGATGACAGAGGATGAGATGGTTGGATGGCATCACCAGCTCGATGGACATGGATTTGAGCAAGCTCCAGAAGTTTGTGATGGACAGGGAAGCCTGGCGTGCTGCAGTCCATGGGGTCGAAAAGAGTCAGACACAAATGAGCAACAACTGAGCGACTGAACTGAACTGACTCCTCCCTCCTCCCAGGTTCTTAAAGCCACAAATCTGTATTCGGTCTTTATGGATTTACCTGATCTGGACATTTCATATAAATGGAATCATATGATATGTGATCTTTTGTGTCTGGCTTCTTTCACTTAGCATATTATTTTTGAAACCTATCCATATTGTCAAATGTAGCAGGGCCTCATTCCTTTCCATGTCTGAATAATGTTCCCTTGTACGGAAATAGCCACATTTTTTTGACCTATCCATCAGTCGATGGACATTTGGGTTTTTTCTAACTTTGGGCTATTGTGAATAGTACTGCTGTAAACTTTCACGTGCAAGTTTTTGTTATTAATAGAAAAACCTGTTTTTAATTCTTTTGGGTACATACCCAGGAGTGGAACTGTTGGGTCATTTGGTAATCCTATATTTAACTTTCTGAGCAAATGCCAAACTGCTCTTCACCACAGCCGAACTGTTTTACATTCCCACCAGCAGTAAATGAGAGCTCCAATTTCTCTGCTTTCTTGGCAACGTTTATGTTCTGTTCGACTGTAGCCATCCCAGTGTCTGTGAGATGACATGTTATTGTGTTCTTAATTTGCATGTCCCTAATGACTAAAGATGCTGAACATCTTTTCATGTGTGTTTGGCCATTTGTGTATCTTCTTTAGAGAAGTATCTAGCAAAACTTTCATTTTTAATTTTATTGAAGACCCCCCCTTCCCTTCTCTGCCTCTCACTCCTTGCCTTAGCCCCTCTCCACTGCCCTCTCCCCCTAAGACCATGACCACCAGCCTCTATCCTCCTCTTAATCCCCTCGCTGGTCCTTTCCCCTACCACATATGTGTGTGCTAAGTCACTTTTGTCATGTCCAACTCTTTGAGATCCTATGGATTGTAGCGCACCAGGCTCTTCTGTCCATGGGATTCTCCAGGCAAGAATACTGGAGTAGGTTGCCATGCCCTCCTCCAGAGGATCTTCCCAGCCCGGGGATTGAACCCATGCCTCCTGCTTTGGCAGGTGGGTTCTTTACCACTAATGCTAATGCCACCTAAGGAAGCCCCTTTCCCTACCACTCCTGCTCACATCTGAGGCACCCAGCCCTATCCCCTGGGGAAAATTTGTTCTCTTGTCTTCAGACTCTTCTCATTTTTATATTATCAATTTCTCCCCTCAGATCAACAGATTATCTTTTCCTTTCTCTATTCCTTCTCAGAGGTCTCTCCCCCAACCAAAGCCTTCACTCTTTGGCATCTGCCTGCCCTTCGCCTGCTGTCTGTGATTTCTACAGCAAGGAAACCTCAGGATTTTTTCCTCTTTAGTGATAGAGAACAAGCCGAAAGCACTTACACTTTGGTATATTTTCCTTTATCCTTATCACAGGTCTATGGAAGTAGCTTTGAGCAGTGTGATATTCTACTACACTTTCAAACATAACCTGCCTACAAAAATGCTCATCAAATAGTTGAATGAGCAAACTCTGTGGATGAGGTTTGATAAAAACCCATTAAGATCTGGAAAGGGTCAACTGATGTTGGTTCTATACTTGTTGAGCTATAATTCTTCATCAAATTATGATATAGTTGGGACAATAATCTATTGATACCTTCTAATCCTAATAACTAAAACATATCTTTTGTAAATAAAACTTAGTTTCTATTGTCCACAGTTGTAGTTCATTCATGTAGTTTGTCCAAAGAAGATACCAATTCATGAGCTTATAGGTTAGAAAAGCGGGGGAAAGTATACAAAATATTTTCCTATTTCCTGCTCCTATTCCATTATTTGAGCTTTAGGACTTTTTTTTCAGCCCTTTAAAGTCCTTTTGGCTCTTCTGAGTCTTTAAAGAGAAACTCAATGTCTTTAAAGGACACTTACTAACAGGAGGCAAAAACTCTATTATCCTTCAAGAGACCCTTCTGAGTAGAGTCATTCCTGAGCTGGATTCACAGAGTGAACGCCGTGAAAACATCAATAGTAAGGTTCTACACTGAGCTCCTAGATAAGACAATGAAATTTAAAGAAACCACTTCTCAATGAATAAGTGATGTTCAGTCAGTCCACCAGCTCTATACGCCAGTCTCCGTTCAAAGTGGAAAGGGCACAATAAAAAGAAGAAAATACTCTCTCTATCCTTTAAGCAGTTTGTTTGTTAGAAGTCAGAAAAGGAGAGTGAAAGAGCTGGGCTTAGTGGAGCCAGTTTTCCAATTCTCTCTCCTGGCTTCAGAGAAAGTTGAGAGTCCAGGTATGTGGGCTCCATCCTTCTGTTTCACTCTGGAGTGGATGTTTCCCTTTTATAGATAAAATGGAAAGAGGTCAGTTGGTACTTGGCAAACTGGACCACCAGTCCACTGATCTGGGCAAACTACTCTTCAGTCTGCTTTCCTGCATTCAGTTCAGTCGTGTCCAACTCTTTGCGACCCCATGGACTGCAGCACGTCAGGCCTCCCTGTCCATTACAAACTCCCAGAGCTTGCTCAAACTCATGTCCATCGAGTCGGTGATGCCATCCAACCATCTTATCTTCTGTCATCCCCTTCTCCTACCTTCAATCTTTCCCAGGATCGGGGTCTTTTCCAAAGAGTCAGTTCTTCACATCAGGTAACCAAAGTATTGGAGCTTCAGCATCAGTCCATTCAATGAATATTCAGGACTGATTTCCTTTAG